CTCCTAACTCTATCAGAGGAATCCAGGATAGCTGTGCCAACAGAGTGTCTTTAAAGCTAAGCTATAGGAGTCTATTCACATTTGTGCATGTTCCTCAATGTGTGCTAAAATGCGTACATTCATAGGAATTAATGAGCCCTTAAAGCAGAGATAACACATCCTATCCTTTACAGTGAAGGAAGCTGCCATCTTAGCCTCTGTTTGATGTGCAGTTACCATGGTGTTGCACATGTGATCTGTTATGACACCAGCCATTTGGTGGCTTGACAGTACAGTTTAGTGTGCAAGTAACTGACAGTTTTCAATCACAGAATATTTTTAATGTAACTGTTTGGAAAATAAATGAATGGGTTTAGTTCTGCTTTAAGGTTGCTGGTGCTGATCTAAAATTTTGGTCAACGCAATAAAAGCCAGTTTAAATACCAACATGCTGGACAAAAATTAAGACAGCAAAATACTTACTACTGTAAATATATCTGTGTAAATAACAGTGAAAAAAAAATCAAATTTCAGCTATAAAAGAGTTTAATTTCTCTCATGAAAAAATCTTTTCACTGTAGATAATCAGAGCACTGACAAGTCTCACTAATTTCTCACACATTAGCAGCCGGTATCAGACATGGTTGCAACATGTCTCTAGAGCGGACCATATACAGATTGAAATCCATCTGGTCCAACAGGGACTGGACAGATTTCAATCAGTGTGTGGTTGTCCCAGCTCAACAGAAATCAATCATTTGATCGGCTTCGGTCAAAGGGGCATGTTGTAAATGTTTCTGTAGTCTGGCAGCGATGGGTCATGCTGTTAGAAAATCATGTCCCATATACGCAAACTCGTTAAACTCGTGTAGATGGAGGAATCTGATAATTTTGTTATGCCACAGACATATCAGACACACAACATGATAGGTGACTTCACTTTCTCGGTTATTGATTAGTGGTATGGTCTGGACATTTCCACACCCTTCACATGCTGATAAGGCAATGAGTAACGGCTCATTCAAACTCTAAGCAGTTATGTGCACTCTTCCTCATGAATAAATGCAGCGACCATAATGATACATAGTGTTCTATTTGTCAAGTTCTCATCAGAATGCAGTTTTTAACTGCGTCCCAGAGAGGTAAAATATTGTGAAACATGTTTGCATAATAATGTGCCCCTCTGGATGGCCGAATGTCACCGCACAGCAAGCACAATGCACCATGGTGCTGTGCCATGGAAAGAATGAAAAGTCACTTTGTGCACTTCTCATAACGTTTAAACAAAAAAAATAATAAAGGAAGAAAAGGTGCTGTGCCATGGCAAGAATGCACATCACACTGTGCCCTTCAGCCAGCACACTGCACCTGGAGCAGACAGCTGCCACACACTAAACCGCTGCTTTTAGATCTACTTTACATTCTTCAAAATGAAAGGTCATGCTCTCATCAAATTCCATGATAGCATTATATTGTCTTTCTGTAGAAATGTAAAATTAAAGGAGATTCTGCATATGGCTAACATGCAAGTCTTCCAGATCAACTTTAACCACTTGTCTACCAGCACTTTTACCCCCTTCCTGCCCAGGCCAATTTTCAGCGCTGTTGCACTTTGAATGACAAGTGAGCGGTCATGCAACACTGTACCCATATGAAATTTTTATCATTTTTTTTATAGACAGATAGAGCTTTCTTTTGGTGGTATTTAATCACCTCTTGGTTTTTTATTTTTTGCCAAAAAACTGCAAATTTTGAAAAAAAAAAATTTTTTTTTCCTAATTTCGGTTATAAAATTTAGTAAATAAGTAATTTTTCTTCTTCACTGATGTGCACTAATAAGGCATCACTGATGGGCACTGAAAGGCAGAACTCATATATGGTATTGATAGGCGGCACTGACTGACACTGATGGGTGTCACTGAAAGGCAGATAGATGGCCATTGATGTGCACTGGTAGGCAGGCACTGGCAGGTGGAATTGATGGACACTGACAGGTGGCACTGATTGGGGCTACACTGATCATCAGGGCAGTGACACTGATTGGGGCTACACCGATCATCAGGGCAGTGATCATCAGTGTGCATGTCCCCTCTAAGGAATGCATTTCCTTATTTACATGCGATCAGCTGATTGCACAGCTGATCACATGACAGAGATGACATCATTGGCTCTTTCTGCTGATCGGTGATCCGCTGTGTCATATGACGTCCTCCCAAAACAACAGAACTACCGCCTGCCCGTCATTTCCTTATATGGCGGGCAGGAGGAGGTTAACCAGATGGATCCAGTTGGTGATCTTTAACAGTTATGGGTAAACCATTGCTAACAGATATACTTAACCACTAGCCGACCAGTCACTGTAGAAATACGGTGGCAGGTCGCCACGGCTGGGCAAAACCATGCTTTAAAACGTGCGTTTGCAAAACAGGTAGGGGGTGTGCACGAGGAGCACCACCGCGCTACCTGTCCCCCCCGATCACGGCCGCGGATGTCAGTTGCCGGGTCACAGCCGGTCGTTACCGGCTGTGTCCCGCCGATTAGCGGCAATCACTGACAGAGAGCAGGGCTGCAGTAGCTCTGTTTTCTGTCAGTTCCCTGTCAGCGCCTGACATGCTGATCTGGAGAGAACAGATTCTCTCTCCCGATCAGCGTGTCCCCCATGCAGTACACACCCCTGCCCCCTAGTAAAAACACTCCCCTCACACAGTTAACACTTTCAGCAAATAAAAAAGTTAACCCCTTCCTCCCCAGTGCCATTAGTACAGTGTCAGTGTTTTTTATTTTTGCACTGATCACTGTATTGGTGTCACTGGGGATGTCAGTGACCCCAAGTCAGTACCCTCAAATGTCAGAATGTCCGCCGCAGTCCCGCCATAAGTCACTGATTGCCGCCATTATTAGTATAAAAAACCCTAAAAATCCCAGTATCTTTCCCGCCATTTGTAAACGCTATAACTTTCATGTAAACCAATTAATTTACACGTAGTCAGTCAGTCAGTTTTACAAGTCAGTCCCCCCCCCCCCCAGTGTCAGAATGTCCGCCGCAGTCCCACCATAAGTTGCTGATCGCCGCCATTATTAGTATAAAAATAAATTAAAAATCCCAGTATCTTTCCCGCCATTTGTAAACGCTATAACTTTCACGTAAACCAATTAATTTACACGTATTGGGGTTTTTTTTTTAGCAAAGACATGTCGCAGATTGCATTTTGGCTGAAATTTATGACTAAATTTGATTTTTAATTTTTTTTTTACTGGACATGTTTTATAGCAAAAAGTCCAAAATATTGTTTTTTATCTCAAAATTGTCAGCTTTTTTTTTTATAGCGCAAAAAAATAAAAAAACCGCACAGGCAATCAAATACCACCGAAAGAAAGCTCTATTTGTGTGGAAAAAAAGGACATAAATTTCATTTATGTACCGTACTGCATGACCGCACAATTGTCCGCTAAACTGGCGCAGCGCTGTATAGCAAACAAATGGCGTAAATTGCAGTATTTATACCATAGTTTGTAGACGCTATAACTTTCACACAAAGCAATATACACTTATTGGGATTTTTTTTTACCAAAAACATGTAGCAGAATACATTTTGGCCTAAATTTATAACTAACTTTGAGTTTACTATAGATTTTTTATAGCTGAAAGTAAAAAATATAGTTTTTCTTCAAAATTTTTGGTCTTTTTTTGTTTATAGCGTGAAAAATAAAAAGCGTACAGGTGATCAAATACCGCCGAAAGAAAGCTCTATTTGTGTGAAAAAAAGGACATAAATTTAGTTTGGGTGCAGCATTGCATGACTGCGCAATTATCAGTTGAATTAGTGCAGCACCGAGTAGCAAAAAGAGGCCTGGTCATTAGGGGGGTAAATCCTCAGGTGGGCAAGTGGTTAATGCTCATTCCATTAGAGCCCTCCTAATCTTGTGACCTAGATACTTCCCAATACATCATTAAAAGTGCAATATATCCAGGGCTCAGATTGAGAGTGTTACATTGTATAGTGATGTCAGTCCTATGCGATCAGCCTTCTTTGGCCTCATTCACACCATGGACAGAGACGTGAAATTTTCTGCACCTGTTTTTGCAAGGTTTCTATGTGCACTGTTCACAACACAACACTGGTATCATGTGCATATTTTTTCTGTGCAGAAATCTGCAACACACCATCAACATTGTGGTGTAAATAGGATACACATATAAAAACAATTGTTTTCTTTATGCCCTTGTAGAGAATTTATGTTGCATATTTCTGTCCAGAAAAAAAAAAATCCTGTGAGAGTTATGGTGTGAACAGGGCACATAGGAAACAGGTGTTTTCTTTGTGTCCTTGAAGAGATCTTTATTAGAAATACACACGTCTCTGCACACAATGTGAAAAAGCACAAACTATTCTATGCAAGTCACGTTTTTTTCATTATTTTTTCTATACATAGGGTGTGAACGAGGCCCTACTGTTTGGGGGAAAACCTAAAATTTGGTATTTTATTTTACATTAATTTTCAATGATAATAGTAAACATGACAGATATGGTGAATCATCCTAAAACGGGCAAAGACAGGAATAAAAACTTTACAGGTGTTATAATTCCTCTCCCACTCCATCAAAAACCGCAAAAAAAAAAAAAAAGTTTTGCCTTTAACCACTTGCCTACCAGGCACTTATACCCCCTTCCTTACCAGGCCAATTTTCAGCTTTCAGCGCTGCCGCACTTTGATTGACAATTGCGCGGTCATGCAACATTGTAGCCAAATGAAATTTTGATCATTTTTTTCTCACAAATAGAGCTTTCTTTTGGTGGTATTTAATCGCCACTGGGCGCTTTACTTTTTGCGCTATAAATTTAAAAAAGTGAAAAAAATTTGAAAAAAAAAAAAAAAGTTTGTTTTTCTTTTATAAAATTTTTCAAACAGGTATTTTTTCTCCTTCACTGATTTGCGTTGATGAGGCGGCACTGATGGGCACTGATAGGCGGCACTGATGGGCACTGATAGGCAGCACTAAAGGGCACTGATAGGCAGTACTAATGAGGTGGCACGGATAGGCAGCACTGATAGACAGCACTAATTAGGGGTCACGGATAGGCGGCACTGATATGCAGCACTGATAGGCGGCACTGATAGGTGACACTGATGATGGGTACTGATAGACGGCACTGACTGGCATCACTTCTGGGCACTGACTGGCGGCACTGACTGGCACAACCCCTGGGCACTGACTGGTGGCACTGACTGGCAGCACTGCTGGGCGGCACTCGGTGGGCGGGCACAGGTGGGTGGCACTGGTGGGTACAGGTGGGTGGCACACTGGTGGGCACAGGTGGGTGGGCACAGGTGGGTGGCACTGCTGGGCACATGTAGGTGGCACTTCTGGGCACAGGCAGAGTGGCACAGGTGGGGGCACTGCTGGGCACTGCTGGGCACAGGTGGGGGCACTGCTGGGCACAGGTGGGCGGGGCTGGGGCGCACTGCTGGGCGGAACTTGCGGGTGTCACTGCTGGGCACCGATCATCAGGGCACTGATCATCAGTGCCCTGATGATCGGTGCCGATCCCCGCTCTGACAACTGCCGGTTCTCGGCAGTACTTTCCTCACGATCTGACAGCGTGAGGAAAGTGCAGCCGAGAACCGGCACTTGCATTTCCCTGTGATCAGCGTGTCATTGGACACCGCTGATCACGTGGTAAAAGGCCGGTGGGATCGGCCTTTCACCACATCACGTGATCAGCTGTGTCCGTAGGACACAGCGATCACGGAGATCGCCGGGTGCGCGCCCCCTGGGGCGCGCAGGAGAGCGCGTTCTGGGAGGACGTCATATGACGTCCACTCAGAACTGGCCGGCCGCGGTGAAGCCGTCATTCGGCTATGCGCGGTCGGCAAGAGGTTAACCACCTGCCGCCCACCATATAGTAAAATGACAGATGCAAGGCGGTTCTCTCGCTCTGGGAGGACGTCATATGACGTCCTCCCCATTCTAAATGCGCGGCTCTGGGAGTGCGCGCAGCGCGGCGATCAGCGGTGCGCTGTGTCCCTCGGACACAGCGCATCAGCGGTCAATGGAAAGAGCCAAAGATGTCGGCTCGATCATGTGGTCAGCTGTGTCCAATCACATGCAAACAGGGAAATGCTGGTTTTCGGCATTTCTCTCCCCATGAGCTGTCACGCTGACAGCTCGAGAGGAGAGCAGAGCCGGTAAATCGGCATTTCTCAGAGGGGACATGTGCACTGATCATCAGGGCACTGATGATCAGTGTGCCCTGATGATCTGTGTAGCCCCAGCAGTGCCACCTGTCAGTGTCCATCAGTGCCAGTTCTCAGTGCTCATCCATGCCACCTGCCAGTGCCCATCAGTTCCACATCAATGCCACATATCAGTGCCCATCTGAGCTGCCTTTCAGTGTCACCCATCAGAGCCGGTCAGTGCCACCTATCAGTGCTGCCAATCAGTGGTGCCTAACAGTGTGCATCAGTGGCGCCTAACAGTGCGCATCAGTGGCGCCTAACAGTGCGCATCAGTGGCGCCTAACAGTGCGCATCATCAACAGTGCGGCGCCTAACAGTGCGCATCAGTGGCGCCTAACTGTGCGCATCAGTGGCGCCTAACTGTGCGCATCAGTGGCGCCTAACATCAGTGCGCATCAGTGGCGCCTAACAGTGGCGCCTATGCGCATCAGTGGCGCCTAACAGTGCATCAGTGGCGCCTAACAGCGCGCATCAGTGGCGCCTAACAGTGCCATATATGAGTGCTGCCTTTCAGTGCCCATCAGTGATGCCTGTCAATGCCCATCAGTGCCACCTACCAGTGCCTTCTCATCAGTGCCACCTATCAGTGTCCATTAGTGCAGCCTATCAGTGCAGCCTCATTATCGCACATCAGTGAAGGAGAAAACTCACTTATTTACAAAATGTTATAACAAAAAGTAAGAAAACTTTTTTTTTCAAAATTTTCAGTGATTTTTGGTTTAAGAAAAAATAAAAAACCCAAAGGTGATTAAATACCACCAAAATAAAGCTCTGTCACAAAAAATGATAAAAATTTCATATGGGTACAGTGTTGCATGACCGCGCAATTGTCATTCAAAGTGCAACAGCACTGAAAGCTGGAAATTGGCCTGGGCAGGAAGGGGGTATAAGTGCCCTGTAGGCTAGTGGTTAAAGATCAAGTTTCAGGATGATTTTGTTATTCAAGATTTGCCGGTAAGGTGTTGAAATAGAAGGTGTTCGCAGCTTTTTAATTGATGGCCTGAAAAAATCTTCACTAACAGTCCAGAACAAGGTTTCTTTACCTTTAAATATTACACATCTCCAATGAATTGCCCAATGTGTCCTTATACTCCCTTCACCAGACTGTGAAACCATCATCCTGGGTTGAATAACACTTTAAAGCCCCAAACTGTTGTTCAATTGTGTATCAATGTTCATGGTTTTGGAATGGCATATTTAACAAACTCATAGTTTATAGGTGTGATGGTCAGGTGTCCAAACACATCTGCTCATATAGGTGTTGATTTACTAAATGCAAATAGGCTGTGCACAGAAAGTGCAGTTGCTCCAGATCTGAGGGGAACATGCAAGAAAAATTAAAAAAAACTGCATTTTTGCTTGCAAATGATAGGATGAAGGAAACCAGCAGAGCTTCGCCTCATTTCAGAGCTTCCCCTCGGATCTAAAGCAACTGTACTTACAGTGCACACCAGCTTTTTTTTAAGCTGAAAAAAAATGCTGAAAAAAATCAGATACAAAACACTGGTAATAGTAGTTTAGAAGCGCTTAGGAGCGTTAGCATTTTATTAGAGTTTAAAAAAAGCTGTTGGCAGTGTTTTAGTAGTGTTTTTTTCTGCTGGAAAAACGCTCCAAACAAAAACTCTACAAAACCAAACTCTCACAACATGCTGATTGCCTATAGTGTGCATGGACACATAGGATATTACTATTTAGCTTCTTGGAGAAGAATAAAAATGCTAATAACTTATAGGAGCTTAAAAAAAAAAAAAAAAAAACAACACTGAGCCAGCCGCTCCCTCCACAGCCCAGAGCTTCAGTGAGCGCAGAGGGCGCAGAGCAGACAGCAGTGACCGACAGTCACCACTCTCTGCTCAGAGCGGCTGTGAGAACTCGGCAATCATATGATAGCGGAGTTCTCACACTTAGAGCAGCGGGGGCACAGATGCATCGGACCAATGCTGCATCCACCTAGGTAAGTAGGATTTAAAAATAAATAAATACATAAATAAAAAAAACTATTCCCATACCTCTTTTAAGACACTCTCTTCTTTTATGGTCTTCATAATTCCACAAGACCACAAATTCATCTAGTAGTCATGCTACAATGCATCTCTCATACCCAGTTACAATGCCACATCTGGGTGCTGGTGCACCAGAAGGAGAAAGAGAAAGCCATCATAGCTTTGACTCAACAGACAGGGTGCAGAAAAATGCTACTCCACAGGACTGCCTGGCAGGACAGATAAAATGAACTTTAAAAGGAAGTAGCCACTATATCTCTATATTGAAAATGGAAATTGTATTAAATCTAGGCAAATCTGCAGGAAATTGAGCAAAAAAGCGGCTCAGTTGGAGATGAATACCTCCGGTATTTTCTATATAAGATATGCAGCAATGATACAGCCCTGGAGCTTGTGCCTGTAAAAAACACAAAATTGCAGCTCCCATATTACTGTTCCAACAGGTTTCCTTTAAAAGGTACACACCACTGAATCTCAAACATTTAGCATAGCTGTACATGTGAGCATGGCTCGGTTTCATCCTGGCTTGAGTTTAGGAGACTATTAATTAAAATCTTCCAGTTTCTAGTTAATGGTTACTTAATGGTCCAGAACACCAGTCTAATTTTGGAAGACAGGAACTCCCCAAATGTTCCCAGGTGCCACCCCACCTTAATAAAAAGAGAGCTAAAAATGTAGGCAAAAATAATGGAATAATAAAACAAAATATAAAATTGTAGATGCAGTGTTTCTGGACAGCATTTCTAGTTCGTTTTAGATAACATCTTGAGTTTTTTTCAAGTAAATGTGCAGCCTAGACCTTTTCTTTTTTCTTATGGTACAGTGAGAGAGATAAAACTGATCTCTGTGTCACAGGTAAGTAAATTCCCCTTGCTTCCATTTCTAGTGGCACTGTGTCACCCAAGATAAAAAGTGAAGGAAGAACTCCCAAAAGGACAGACGTAGCAATAAAAATACTCTTATTAGTAGAGTAGGGGAATGATACAACCTCCATTAGCTTTATTTGCCAATATCGAATTTCCCTTGCGGCAGATAACACTGACATCACCAAACGTATGGTGAGGAGAATCTACCCAACAAGACATGAGACCTCAAAAACCTGACAAAGATTCATTCCCTATGTATATTTCCTGGACATCATTAGCAGTTTCTCAAATATCCGTGTTTATGCCAAAACATATCCTAATTATTAAAATAATGAAAACTCACTAATAATGCTACATTGCCAAAGAATTGACCAAACTTGAACATTTTCCCCAAATGTATTTTCGCAAGCTAAAGCTATTTGCACAGTGATGTATAATTAAGGTTTGGCTCAAGAGTTTGTATATCTTAAAAGCATCGTCTGAAGCAACCAACAGGTCAGGGAATGGTATTCAATGTGCTGATGTGATCCTAAATCAGTCTCTGAAAATCCATAATCTTACCTTCTGAAATTGGAACACAGCGTGATCCTATTCTTGTGTAACATTATCTTAGACTGTAACAATCAAGATAAAAAGAAAGTTTGCTTCTCAAAAGCAAACAGAGAAAAAGTTTGCAAATTACCACTTAGATAAGGTCACTATATTCTTTGCTTGAATTAACATGTTTTCAATATACACAACTCTAAAAGCATACACTGAAAAAGGCACAGGAATCTGTAGAACATTTACTATACATGAAAAACTAGAACATTAACAGATCCACAATATTGAACATCTTTACGACCAAAATCAAAGCAATCTTATTCTTAACAGTCAAACCCAATTTCGCAATTTTGGCATGTGTTAGAAAAACCGTACAGATCATTGCAACTACTTAGTGTATCCAAGTGAATTATACCTGTTTTTTTTGCAGGATAGATTGGACTTTCATTTTGTAGTAAATGTTTTTCACAGAGAGGAAACAACATAGGGACAGGCTATAGAGTGAATAATCACTGTGATAGTAGAGCACATGCTATCACAATGATCATGTGATCAGGATCTGGTTCTCCCAAGTCCTGATTGTTCGCATGAGACACAGGGCTGTCTCAGTCTCTGTGTATTGTATTGTATTATACAGTCATGGCCGAAATTGTTGGCACCCTTGATATTTCTCCAGGAAATCATGTATTTCTCACGAAACGTATTGCATTAACACATGTTTTGCTATACACATGTTTATTCCCTTTGTGTGTATTGGGACAAAACAAAAAAAGGGAGGAAAGAAAGCAAATTCGACATAATGTCACACAAACCTCCAAAAATGGGCTGGACAAAAGTATTGGCACCCTTTCACAACTGCGGATAAATAAGAATGTTACAAGCATGTGATGCTCCTGTAAACTCACCTGGGGCAAGTAACAGGTGTGGGCAATATAGAAATCACACCTGAAAGCAGATAAAAAGGAGAGACGTTCACTTAACCTTTGCATTGTGTGTCTGTCTGTGCCACACTAAGCATGGACAACAGAAAGAGGAGACGAGAACTGTCTGAGGACCTGAGAACCAAAATTGTGGCAAAATATCAACAATCTCAAGGTTACAAGTCCATCTCCAGAGAACTAGATTTGCCTTTGTCCACAGTGCGCAACATTATCAAGAAGTTTGCAACCCATGGCACTGTAGCTAATCTCCCTGGTCGTGGACGGATGAGGAAAATTGATGAAAGATTGCAACGCAGAATAGTCCGGATGGTGGATAAGCAGCCCCAAACATGTTCCAAAGACATTCAAGCTGTCCTGCAGGCTCAGGGAGCATCAGTGTCAGCGCGAACTATCCGTCGACATTTAAATGAAATGAAACGCTATGGCAGGAGACCCAGGAGGACCCCACTGCTGACACAGAGACATAAAAAAGCAAGACTACAGTTTGCCAAAATGTACTTGAGTAAGCCAAAAGCCTTCTGGGAAAACGTCTTGTGGACAGATGAGACCAAGATAGAGCTTTTCGGTAAAGCACATCATTCTACTGTTTACCGAAAACGGAATGAGGCCTACAAAGAACAAAACACAGTACCTACGGTAAAATATGGTGGAGGTTCAATGATGTTTTGGGGTTGTTTTGCTGCCTCTGGCACTGGGTGCCTTGACTGTGTGCAAGGCATCATGAAATCTGAGGATTACCAAAGGATTTTGGGTCGCACTGTAGGGCCCAGTGTCAGAAAGCTGGGTTTGCGTCCAAGATCCTGGGTCTTCCAGCAGGACAATGACCCCAAACATACGTCAAAAAGCACTCAGAAATGGATGGCAAAGAAGCGCTGGAGAGTTCT